AGGAAGATCTCATCTGGGGAAGTGGGACTTGAACAACGTCTGTACAGGCTACCTGCTCCTCCCTTCTCGGTGCCCAGTGCCAGGAAGGGATGACTTGGGCATGACTCTGGGGATCTCGGAGCAGGCTCTTCAGATCTGCGGGCTCAAGCTGGGCACTTTCCGTCTGCTCTCCAAGCACTTTACATACCTCCCACGATGACCTCTGAGATGGGGTTAAGGTGGTGCCACTCTTATACATGAGAAAACTGAGGCATGACGAGCTAAAGCCACTTGCCCCAAGGTACAAAACCAGAAAGCAGTGGCACCAGGATTCGAACACTGGTGGTCAGGTTTCTGGGCCTGCTCCCTTCAGTATCACAGCAAGCTGATGTCATAGGAATGACAACCCTGCCCCATGTTGCCATCTGTGCCTTAGTCCCCCACCATCTATCTCCCTGTCCTTTGCTCCCAGCAGGGCTGAGAGGCAGAGGGAATGCAGAAGAGCCTGACTGCTGTGCTACCACCTTGAGCAAGTTCTTCAACCTCTCCGGCCTCAGTTTCTCCACTCAGAAAATGGGGACAAATCCCTACCTTACAGGTCAGTCGTGAACATGAAGTAAACATGAGCTTTAAGAACAGAACCGGGGGGCCGGCAGGTGGTGTAGAGGTTAAGAGCTCTGGACTCCCACACGGCCAACCACGGTTTGAGTCCTGAACCTGGCAGCTTGCTGTCTCACTCTCCTTCAGGGACCAGCAGGTGGCGTGATGGTTAAGGTGCTGGACACACCCACATGGCCGACCATGGTTTGAGTCCTGGACCTGGTGGTTTGCTTTCTCACTTTCCCCCTCTCTCTCTGTCTCTCTCTGGTCAAATTAAAATAAATGAATAAATAAATAAAATTAAATTAAATTTAAAAAAAGAACAGAACCGGGCCACAGCTGTGCTGAGTGCTAGCTGTTGCACTTGTTGCTGCTGGTAGCACTGCCACGCCCCTTCCCTCGGGTTGGTCAACGCCTGAGTCTGACCTCTCGGAGAGGTGGCAGAGGTCTGGGTATCCGGGACTTGAGCTCTGTGGGCTGAGTACGGGCCCTGGAGCTCAGCTGGCTCGCCTCCCAGAGGAGGATGGCAACGGCCTGGCCAGCACTCTGTTCCCTGGAAAGGAATATCCGCGGTGTACATCGTATCAGCCCAGTCATCAGCCCCAGCTCGGGGAGGCAGCACGGCAGCCACAAGGACCCACCCAGCATCCAACAGGATGGAATTGGGGCCGACTCCATCACTAATTTGGGCAAGCAGCAAGCCCTCGCTGAGCCTCGCTGCTCAAGGCTGGTCATGAGTTTTGTGCCAGGCGATGGAAGCAAATGCAAACACTCTGCAAACTGCAAAGTGCCAAGCACACGCGCCCACCACGGTGCCCACCACCCACCCACAATCTGCCCTCCCACCCTGGGGGGGACCACCAGGCCGCACCTGTGAGGATGGACAGCCTGCGCATGGCAGGGAAAGGGTGGTTGCCGGAGGTATCCAGGATGTCGAGCTGGTACATGTCGCCGCGGATGTTGTAGACCTTGCGGTGGAAGTCCTCGATGGTGGGCGTGTACTGGTCCTCGAAGCGGCCATTGAGGAAGCGAGAGACGATGGAGCTCTTGCCCACCCTCGAGGCGCCCAGCACCACCATGCGGTACGAGTTCTTGGCAGGCACGCTCAGCGTGCAGTTCCCACTGGACAAGGTCTTCATCATGGCTCGGGGCTGCAACAGAGGGAGGCCAGCGGGCGTCAGGAGGCCCTTGGCCCACCCTGCTGCCCCTTTTTGGAGGCCTTGGCCTCCTTTGTGTGGCCTCTCTAGGTCCGTTTTCTCCTTTGCTCAGGCCAGCTCCTCCCCCAGAACACCTCCTCCTCTTACACTTCAGGGTCGGGCTCAAATGCCACCCCCCTCCCTGAAGGCTGCCTTAAGCCCCCCACCCCAGCCGGAATCCTCCCCTCCCTAGGGGACAGC